CAAGGATGCTGGGGCCCCACACCCAAATTCATTTCTAAAGTAAAATTCTGAAAGGTGTCTTCCTCTGGACTCTTCCAGGGAGCGTGAGTAGGTCTTAACATGATAAATCTACCCTAACATTCAAATCCCATTAAGCCTTCAGATCCCTTCCTCTACAATATACCTACCAAAGCAGTTGTGGCAGTCTGACTTTAGTGTGGGCCATTTTTGAGTCCATGTTTCAGCCAACTAACCAAGCTGTTAGAGCCCTTTCAAATCCCTTGAACTAAAATACTAAATCCAGAATCTGTTTAGTGGGCCCATATCAATAAATTTGGCCTGATTCAACTTTATATTTATCTACAATTATCTTACAACCTTAAGATCCATTCCCACATAGACCCCAGATTTCCATCTGTATAGATTGGAAAAATTACGCAGTTCTTTTGGCGTGTAATGCACCTCACGGATTATACTTTGTACTTTACCCTTTGGTAACTGCTGGGACAGGAGTCTACTTGTGGGTTCTAGAAGCAAAGTAGGGTGGTGGAATCCTGAGGAGAAGCGGTAATGCCTTGCAAGGAACAACTCTAGAGAGGCCATATCAGCTGTTTCAGACAAAGTAGGATTAATGTTCTCAGACAAGAGTTGAAGGGCTACTTCTGCTGGTAAGAAAGAAACAGCAGACCTTAGGGGTTCAATGGCCCCAACTTTACTGGGATCTTCCCATACGTTCCCATTCCACTATTCAGCCTCCCATTCTTTCCCACTCAATGCTCTCACTGTAACAGCAGACATTCCTTGAGGTTGGGAAGTCATTTGTGTTGTAATTCACCCACTTGCAGGATAAGATTCTGGGTTTGGTTTTCAGAAATCTCAGCCCTGTAGCTAAGGACGTAATGGTTTCTTTCAGAGAAAATACAAAAAGAAAGCTTTCAGGTCATTAATGTGAAGCTTCAGCTAGGAATTTGAAGCACTGAGCTCATCTTTTTCTTTTTCTACTTTGTCCAGCTCAGTTAGGAGCAACCAGCCAGTCCCCTTACACTCCATGTTAGACTAAAATGTCCTAAGGGATGGTCATCCAGAATCTTGCTTTTTATGTTACCAAAACGTGGTACTTTGTGTGTCTCCATTGCCACAACACTCCATGGACTACTAGTACCCTCTTGAACACTGGAAACAGTCATTAATGTCTTTCAATTAATCAGATTAGAGACTATATTCCAGAAAACCCAGAACCAATTTTCAAAACTCATCCTCAAGGTTCTGTTTGTTTAGAATCACTTCTGGGTTCAATCAGAGAAACAGAACCCGCAGCAGATGTATATGGAAGAGATGTATTAGAAGAAATTGGCTAACACGATTGTTAGGGCTAGTTAAGCAAGTCCAAAGTCCATAGCGTAAGCCATCAGGAAGGGCGGATGTTACCTCTTGAGCTGAACTGCTATCCACAGGAAGAATTTCTTCTTTCAGGAAATCTTAGTTCTGCTCCCAAGGCCTTTCAACGGATTGGATCAGGCCCACCCATATCCCCAAGGATAATCTCCTTTACTTAAAAATCAACTGATTGTACATGTTAATCACATCGACAAAGTATCCCCACAGCAACACCTTGAATAGTGTTTGAATAAGTGATAATTATAACCTAGCCAAGGTGACACATAAAACTCATCTTCACACCTTCTAAATCAGACACTCTGAGGGTAGGGCCAAGCAATCTGTATTTAAAGCCCTCTAGTGATTCTGATGCTTCTTCAAGTTTAAGAACCACTGGTTTAGAGAACAAATCAACAGGGAGGAACAGGAGTTGGGAGTCAACCACAATGTTTTATTACAATTAGCCAGTATCTGTTGCTTACAGTTAAAGAATCTTAGGAGATTCACCATACACACAAGGTCCTTAGTAGCAAACAGAAAATGACTCTACTAAATTGGGCAGAAAAGGAACTTATTAGCATTTATATTAAATAGCTCAAAAAACCCATGGGAAGGCTGGAAAACCAGGCTTAGGAAGAGGCAGGTTTTCAGACATGGGCATCCAGGCAGCACACAAACCAGCCAAGACATACCACAGCAATCATCCAGTTAATAGGGTCCCTGGGAAGTAGCACCAGACACTCACCAATACCTCCATGAAATCTTGAACTACCCTATCACTGCTGGGAATAGTCTCTTAATTGTCCTGAGGTCTTTGTGCCATTCTCTCCAAAGACCTGGAGGGAACATAGGACAGAAATATTGACAGAATTTAGTCACATGACCATGCCCTAGCTGCAAGGGGCAGGAAGAAGTAATTTTTGGCCCTCTTTCCTAAAGAGCTCAGAGTAGTAGAAAGATCTACACTTGAGATCATTACAATGAAATGTACTAAAATCAATGGTAAAAGTGTATATACAACATATTATGGAAGAACAGTAGATAAGTTTAACCCAGTATTGGAGGATAGGGGTCAGAATCTAAAAGATCAGAAGTTTCAGAGAGAAGCATTCATGAAACTACAGAAACACACCTAACTGGTTAAAATACCAGAAATCCTATCCTAACATCTGAAGTTCTGCTGAACCCTCATGTGAGGAAAACTGTAAAGCCCCCTTTCACCTCTCCTTTCTCCTTTTCATGCCCACCCAAGCAGGTCCACCAAGCTCCCAACTTCAGTACCTTTCTTTCCCTTGGTGCCATCCCCTACTGTGGGCCATCAACACACTAAAGAGACCCAGTTAGTTGTACTGTCTTTTATTCTGTCTTAGATTTGGTGGCGATACCTCAGAATCTTTTCCACAAATAACAAAGATGTGTAAACATACAACAATAAAGGAGAAGCACCCTAGTGCGGGTTGGGGGCTGAGGATCTTGAGCCCTATATGCCCAGTTTCTTTCCCCTCTTTCCCTCCAAGCAGTCTTTGAAAGAGCCTCAAAGAAAACCACCCCTCGTGGGGCGCCTGGGTGGCTCAGTTTGTTAAGTGTCTGACTCTTGATTTTAGCTCAGGTCATGATCTCAAGGTTCATGAGTTCAACCTTGCATCGGGCTCCATGCTGACAGCACGAGCCTGCCTGAGATTCTCTCTCCCTCTCTGCCCCTCCTCTGCTCTCTCAAAATAAACTTAAAAAGGACTTTTTTTTAATAATAATAAGAAGAACATCCCTCGTGCTGAGAGTAATCTAAAGTCACCAATTTAGTCAACTACATTCACTCATCATTTTCTTAAAATTCCAATGACCTGAAATAATGTATCCAAAAATTGAAATTGGGCCTGAAACTAACATAACATTGTGTGGCAACTGTATTTCAATTAAAAAAAAAAAAAATCACGG